AAAAAACACATTATGTGTATTTGACCTCCACAGCTAGTAACAACAGTATTTTATTTTTCCTTGATTTAGCGTGCAGTAATGAGATTCGCTATCACCACCTATCGCGGCCCACTAAGAAATAAATCAAAATAAAATCCGGTGTCAGAGGAATTCTTTGAATTTAGACGTGCGGTGCATCTTTACACGTCGGCTGAATCTGTTATTTTGACCTTCATCTCTGTGCAGTAGTGCCATGGCATACTATCTAACGAATGCAGATATGCCCGTACGCATTTCACTGATAAGAGTAAACATAGTGGTATAATGAGAATTCTACCTAGGAATGCTTTTAAATGCTGGTGAAGCACTGCTGTGTAAACATACAGTGTGTGTTTTCTGTTTCCCTTTGAAGCCCTCTCAGCTGGCCGACCAGTCAGAGAAGACGCAACACAAAGAAAAAAATAGCCTGATATGCCTGGGGCACACAATGAGGAGCTTGTGCTAATTCAGGCAGACACGGAAATCTGGTGTTAATAAAACTCCAGAAATTAAGAGAAGAGGATTGTGTATCTTAATGCATGCAGACTTTGTGTTAATGAGAGAAGCACAAATGATCCTCCTATGGGAAACAGGATCCTCTATTCTTATTTTACAGAAGCTAAGCTGCAAGACTTCCACATAACACTCATACGCTGTTTTCTTCCAGGAACATATTTGAGTTTTAACCAACTTTTCACTTTTCATTTATCTCACTAACCTTCTCTCTCCTTCACCCTCTTGTTCCCTCCTATCAGCACTCTGCAAATAAACGCACCGACATCCTGTCTAAACCACAATATGATGCTGTCCATTTGCATGTTGCCTTTTTCATCTTACCTGCCCGTTTTTGCTCATGCTCTAATGAGGAAGGGAAATTATATTTTTGATCACAGATTACAAAAAAGGGGCAACTCGAGGTATCCGTACAAAGGTGTCAGCTGATTTACCAGCACAAGGCACGTGTACGTATGCACGATTTACAGGCTGAGAACAGCTGAAATCTCATTTTTCAAAAAACAAAGAAAGACTACACATTCGCAGGATACATTAGCATAGACCGACTTCACACAGGCCAGAAGCAGAGACGGAAATAGACAGTGAGAGAAACAGTTACACATACACACAAAAAGAAATACTCCCTTCGGAGACTGTTACTGAGACATGTGACGAAATACATAAGATCCTAAACCACGAGGGAGTCCAGGTGAAGCGAAACACCAAGGCAGCAGATGCACTGAGACGTGACAGAAAGAGAGAGATGGCAGACTGAGTGACTCGTACAAAGTCGACTACAACCGAGGGATAGACAGGCACACGGGCAGAGACGCTGGTTGAGACTGACAGATGCCCAGAGGCAGCGATCTACAAAGGAGCATATGCGAGACAGTGTGATGGGTGACATGTAGAGTAGACCCACGCCGACACTGACACTCACGATCGCTTAAATGCCTCCAAGATGTTGTCCTGCTGGTCCTCTTCTGCAGCTGAAACCAGACAGAAGGAGAAAGGCTGGTGAGAGCTCAGCTAGGTTAATTCATTACTCAGCAGGCTTGAGCAGCAAAGGAATAATGGACTGATGACCTCGCTAGGCCACTAAATGATAGGACCTAATGTATATCGCACTCACTGAGTTATTGCCTGACAAAGCTAGTTACATAGTAATGGTGGATACGCTGAATGGAAGATGACAATAATGTGATTAAGTGTCTGTCTCCAGACCTACCCTGCACAGAGACTTCGAATGTGCAGCTGTCGCACTTGTCTTTGGAGGTGACCTCGCAGCGGTAGCCACCTGCGTCTCCATCCACTAGTTTGATGATGCTCATCTCGTAAGTGTAGATCTGACAGAGAGAGGGGGGGGATGATATGCTGGGAACACACATAATTCAATGAACACCCAAACGCAAAAGCTCAAACGTACACGCACGTATATAAGCCGGCCGTGCTGACCAACAGGTGCTCGAAGTATAGATAAAGCGAGCAGGGTGACACTGATGCCTTGAAATGTTGCTCAGTTAGCTAGTCACTAAGATGTCGGGGAAGAAATGTCATTAAATGGTAAGAAAACAGATTATTTCTACCAGCTTTTATGCTGTTGGTTTTTCTGAGTTTTACAAATATTGACTAAAATAAACAAAACTTTGTGGGCGTGATCTGGAAAGCATAAAATCTATTAATTGCAAGTTTTATTTTCAGTTGTTCATTACTGCAATTTGCTATTAATCTTGGCAGGATTTTGCACAGGCATGCCTTCGTGCCTTTGTTTACAGTAGTATAATCCAACAGATTCAACACGTTTTAAACGAGAAGCTTTTTGTGCCGTGGTGGAATAAATGTGATTTCACAGGATTCAAAAAGTGAATAAATATTGAAGCACATTACTATTTGCTACCACTTGGTCGATCAGTATAAACAGTTGAGCTGAGTTCAGTTACAAAGTTTGGATCTTTCGTTAAAACCGTCAATTTTACACAAAGTTTTATCCCAATTTTTTTAAAAACCACCAAGAGTCTGAGACAAAGCAATGAGCAGGCTGACTTGCATGCAGTCAGGATATTTAAAAACTGATATTTAGCCATTAGCACTTTCACATTTTATGCCTGAAACTTACAATGCAGGTCACTAAGGAAAAACATGTATTTGCCAACCTGTTGCCAACTGGTTGCCAACTGGTTGCTGAAGGTTGTTGGCTGTAGTTTCACCAAAAACCTCTGTGTGATTGTTTTGGTTTGTAGCAGATTTCACAGAAAAGTGATCGCTCTGTAAACAACTGCAAACTAACCACTGAGTGACAGTGAATTTTGCAAAAATGCAATACATACTGTAAAAGGAAACATTTGACTGTCAAAGTAAAAGTTGCGCCAACTGAAACCAACATGTTTCAAAAAGTGCAACTTTGACTTCTCTGTTTCCATTTTGCATCTGACGCTTCAGTTTCACAACCACTTACATTTTGCATTTCTATTTGTAGTCTATCATTTTATCTCCCCCCCTCTTCCCGACCTCCTCATATTAATTTTTTAATATACATGTTTTCAATCCCACTTGTGCATGAAATGAAACACACAGCCATGCAGTACGTCATTAGAAACATTTGTGAAAGTATGCGTCTTCTGTATATCTTACTGAACTGCAACCATTGCAAGAAGTTGGGTCCAGACATTTCTTCCCTGCGAGCTGTAAGTGGTATTATTGCAAAGTGGAAGCATTTAGGAACCACAGCAACTCAGCCATTAAATGGCAGACTGCGTAAAGTTACTGAGCAGGGTCACCAAATGATGAGTCACATCGTACGTAACAGTCAACACGGCTCTGCTGACTGAATAATAGCCAAGTTCCAAATCTCCTCTGGCGTTAATATCAGTACCAAAACTGTGCGATGGAAGTCTCATGCCATGAGTTTTCATGGTGTAACGTTTATGTAGCCCAATATTTCTGTCCATAGTGCTGTACGAAATACCATAACATGCTCAGATGTTTTGGTCTACAATAAAGTGGTCAGCCAACCAACTGAAAGATTTACTATAATATTCATGAGGCTACGGTCCCGTTGAGGATGATCTGATATCCTCGTGTTGGTGTTGTTCCCAGATCATCATGAAAATGTTGTTCCAGGTTCAACATTGCAAGTGACCAATCACATTATTGTGACGTTATTCTTTTGCACACCAACCCATTCGTGCATTTATGAAATTCCAATGTTGCAAGGACAATATCAATTCTGCTTAGCGTTTATTAAAGGGTTAGGGTTAGGGTTAGGGTCCGTTGATCGGCGGACAAAGGCGGTTTCTCGCAGCTTAAGTAGTTTTTTGTTTTACGCCGGTTTTTCCCGAAGTCGCAAAAGTATGACATCACAACATTCTGATTGGTCACTTGCAATGTTGATCCTGGAACAACCTTTAGTATGATGATCTGGGAACAACACCAACACGAGGATATCAGATCGTGCTCCCGTTGATATTACTGTCTCTTTATTAATACATTCACAAAAGTTATATTTTAAAACAGAGTATAAATGTGTACCTTGGTGTTTCTGTCATAGGACTCTTTAAACTGAAGATGCTTTCCAGCTTTGCTACCCAGGTCAAGCCACTTCCCCTTCAGCCATTTCATGACCGGTTTCTTTATCAGGTTTGAGGAGTCCACTTTAGCCACAAACGTGATGTCCTTGCCTGCCAAGCACGAAGATTAAATGCAGTAATTAATTAAACTGTGTGTGTAACAACTGGAATTGATCACTAAGTGGTCATTCCTCTCGTTTCAGATATAACTCAGTTTTTATGGCCAACGATTTTTTGCCAGACCTTTTGTTGCTGTAACACTCTCCGGCTTCAGCACAAACAGCTGAGGACCCTCCCCCGGAAGATGATCTGTGATGGGAGTGGAATGGAGAGAGTAACTAAAGTATGAATTTAAACAAGAAAATGTTATCTGAGCACAGCACATAGATTTTACATAAATAAAGGCAACCAGGCGACCAAGCAAACCCCCAAATCATCTTCATAAGTGCCTATTTGAAAGTCATTTGGGAAAATTTAGAAATTTAGTTCAAGGACACAAAGCCTCAACCCACTAAATTCTGTCTTTGCACGGTTATTTAGTGCTGAAACTGAGCAACAGTCTCTCCACAAGGCAGCTTGTTTGCATTATGCCTTTGTTGTTACACTGCATAAGCCATTTGGGACCCTCTGAGAAATGACAAGCGACCAAGGAGCAGGCTGGCCCACGGGGAATATAGAAACTCCTCAGATCACCCCTGAAGACATCATATTACTATTGACTCTCTGCAATCATCTGCCACCCCGACAGAACATAAGCTGAAGCCGCACAGTCTTATCGTGGCAATAAAAAATGAGCTGCTCTTTTATCTACTTGCTTGTTTCTTTTGCAAGTAAATTGATGTAACCTTTGTAAGGTGTTTGCTTGTCAGTTGATATGCTTTATAGAAATGCTAACATATTCACTTCTCTTACCATCAGGAGGCAACTCTGCATCGGAAGGGGAAAAAAAGAGAAAGTGAGGAACACGTCAGTCTGTACAGTATTTGTGTTGTCCCATTAAACACAAGCGTTAATTGGCCCAGTGATCACCTTGACTTCAGGTGACGAACACTCACACATTAAATCAGTGTGCTCTCACACTTCAAAAGAACACGGATTTCTTTCTCAGAGTCTAATTAACATTTTTTCCTCTTTTTTTTTAAAGAAAAGCACAACTGTAAATGAGTTATTTCTTCAACAACTGTCCTAAAATCACTTCAACTGTTCTGAGGTACAGTACACAATCTACATAAACTGTCTGAGTCAGACATCCTGCAGATTTAACAAGAAAATGAGGTTCATACACAAGCAATAAGCCAAAGGTACATCGAATCACCAATCAGATAGAGTGAGTAGGACCCTGACTGGAAATCCATTGGACGAGACCAGTTGCTGAGAGAATGGATCCAGGGTCACAAGTCAGATAAGGTCATGCGCTTCCATAAATTCAGAGAGCCATACTGTCGGCGCCTCTTCCTCTCTCTGCTTTTATGGGCTCAGTTAATTTGATCTTTTAATCAAAAAGTACCCCTGAGGACAGATCCAAGTTCAGATGTTCAGCGTGATTTAAAAGGTTTCCATTGGAATGCTAAGTGGGTAAAACTGATTCAGGGATAGGGCTCAGGGGACACTTTCGAATGTTTACACTCTTACGCTGTTGCACTGGATGCTGGCTGCGTTTGGGATGGGGCTGCTAAATGAAATTGACTCCAGACACTGTCGTACTTTGGCACTGGGAGTTTTAAATGATGCCAAGCAACACTATTTAACCATGCATTACTTTTAGACTCTAAAATACAGCTTATAGATTTTTTTTTAACTGTTTGTAAAGGATTACACAGTATAAATAATATGGATTGTATGGGGTTCTTATTTCCTCATAATTTCCTAATCTTTTCTATAGAGTTTAATAAACTACAACTGCAACATTCTCCTGTTAAAACCTTGGTCTTAGCATTCATGGATATTATTTTAACATTAATTGTCTTAGGTTTGCCAGTGAACATTTAAATGATTCAGAGAAGGTATGAGAGGAAGCGCTGCGATTAGAACACCATCCCCATAGTCAAGCACAGAGGTGGAAACATTATGCTTTGGGGGGGGTGTTTTTGCTAAGGCTAAAAGACAACTAGATGGAGGAATTTTGGATGAGAACTTTCTTTCCTCCCAGAACACTGAAAATGCATCATGTGTGGTTTTTACAGCATGGCAGTGAGCCAAAACCAAGGTAACAAAGGAGTGGCTAAAGACAAGCACATCTCCAGCCCATAGTAGTTAGGAAATCTGCAGAGGGAGCTGAGGTTTTTAGTTTCCAAGTGGCAGTCAGGAAACCTAAAGGAAGCAGTTACTGTAAAGAGGAGCACGTCCAAATCCCTCCTGAGATGAAACCCTGTGACAAGACAAGAAATTTCTCCACAAAGTACTAAGTGATGTTTTTTGGGGGATCAAAATATTTGTTTCACTTTAATTTCTTTGGAAGGGAGCAAATTTAAAAATTCAGAAGGAAATAATTATTCCCTCCACTGTGTCTTATACTGGGTCTT